TCTAATTTAGATCTATCCTCTTCCAGTTTAAAGCCATTCCCCTTGTCCTGTCACTATATGTAAAAGGTCCCTCTCTAAACTGCAAACAAATTGTCAGACTAGGGCCATGTGACCTATAATTGTCATCACATCCCTGCCCCTGCAAAATAAAAAGAGAGAGAAATGAAATAATTAAAGGCATTACAGAGAGCACAACAACGTAAAATATTTCCTTTTATGTGTCTGAACAGTAGTGGTTACTTGCAGTGAGAATGACCAGGTCAAAAATAGAAGCCCAGGGGGAACTTTGCCATTACTTTTTTTAGGAGTTTCAGTCTCAGGAATTAATTTACTTCATGCTCTTCCTGGTTTAATAACTACCTACAACAGCTGAAGTATCTACCTGGAAACATTATGGTAGCTTGTCATGTAGTATTCTGTATGCCCCCTGAAAATAAAAGACAGTAAAATACAGAGCAGTCTGGCAATCATCCATTGTCTAGGATATGCTCTGTTATTAGTGATGTGCAACATTTTCGGGGTTGGTTATTGTTTGATTCCTGAAGTCATATGCAGACACCTTAGAGAGCGGCTTGACTTTGACTGCTGCTTCAGCTTTCGTAACTTTCCAGGCACACAGGGTTTCCATTCAAAGCATTGTTTCTTGAAGTTTTAAACCAAACCTTTCATGTGAATACCCAAATACAGATTTACATTCATTTGAAAACTCTGACCTCTGCTTTCTACATATCTAGGTCTTATTTACGACTAGGTTTAGTTATAATCCAGATTTTTATTACTTTGTCAGACATAAACTGTCTACCTTTATTGAATTTCAACTCAATATAATTTATTTCTCACCTCATATTCCAGGTTGCTAGTCATTTATTTGTATGTGTGCTTTATCTCACGTCTCCCCTGTCAAACAGTCTTAATGAGGGTGCTCAAAGCTCAGCTGGTAGTAGCGAGCGTGCCTTGCCAGTCATAACTGGACCATGGCTCTGAGAAGTGGGATGCACTGGGAGAAAGCAAGCTGTACTCAATGGCAAGAAATAGAAACATATATACACAAAGACATTGTTAAAACGCTTCTTACTACAGGATCACTGTGATGATAGTCTGTTGTATACACACTTTGGGTATTTTTACAGTATGTTATTAAGTACTAAAACTTTAAAAAAAGCAGCTGCTAGCTATGAGCAGCTGTCCTTTGCATGGACCAGTAAGCTGACACCCACAGCAGCGTATGTCAGGAGCACATATGGTCTCCTACTGCACCAGATTTTATGCACTCACAAACACTTGCAAGGGGGCATGTTGGTAAAACCTTCCCTCCCTGCACCCTTCTCTTCTCACATATCTGGTAGTTTTGTTTTTGTCACTTCTTATTCTGCCTTGAGATACATGAACAACTATAGTAGTGCTGTTACATAAAACAGAAAGGTTCTTTGCAACAACCAACCAACAATATTTTATTGCCCAACATTTGTTCAGGATGAGGACAAAAGGCTGGCTGCACGGCAATTGAAGTTAAAGCTATATTTGGAGTTAAAAAAACCCAAACATTCAAATGTAAATACAAATTCAATTGTTCTTTTAAATAGGGATTTTTAAATGAAACTGTACTTAGACTCCAAGAAAGTTATAACTAAATTACAATTTTTTAATAAAAGTGTTTATAATGCAAAAGCTGACCAACCTTCAGTAATAAACTTCTTTCCTAATGTCCTTATCACATTGCTACAATATCACTTACAGATGTCTAGGGTTATAAAGCAGTCTTTTGCACAACTGTATTACAGCCATCAGTCTTTTTTTTTACACTAAAATAGAGTTGGTTCCATATGTTGTGCTGTAGGAGCTTAGGATGTCTCTGCCTGAGCTGTATCTAAGTCTTTATAGATTATGTAAGTGCCATCTATATTGGAACCAGAATTAATAATGTGATCGGGATGCAAGACTGGATGTGCACAGGAACTCACTGACATTGCAGTCATGGTGTAGTGCTGGGCTGGGCAAAATCAGCAGCTCCGAGTTCTGTTTCTTTTTACTCACGCAAAACCGATATGAACTGAACTTTTGCAGAAGCTGGCATTTTTTTGTTCCTCTTGTAGTGCAGGTGTACAAATTGGCACTTTCTTCTAAGCCACATCTAAAGAAAAACTTTGGCTTATAATGAATATGCCAAATTATTAAATTTGATAATAGGCTTAAAATATGCATAACGACTAACTCCCACCTAGGCATATGAAAAAAGACATGACGTTCTAGCACCAGCCTTGATTTTGCCACAGCAGGCTCTACACAACAAATGAGGCGGCCGCATTCCCATGCAAAGAAAATTCTGCACGTAGGCTCTGATGCTAAAGGTGCTCACTCTTGTGCACAGCAGAGGTTCACATGTGTGTGCACGGCGTGGACAACATAGCTGTATCTTGATGTGGGGTACAGCTGGGTGAAGGGTGACAATGATGCTAAATGAAGAATGAATGACCTTCCTTATTACCAGTCCTATGCTACCCACTGCTGTGAGACTTCCCACCTTAGAAGGCTCTACTTCCTTTCACAGACCGGTGAATCACAGAATCACAGAATGGTTGAGGCTGGAAGGGACCTTGAAGCTCATCCAGTTCCAATCGCTGATGCCATGGGCAGGGGCACATTCCACTAGTCCAGGTTGCTCAAAGCCCTGTCCAACCTGGCCTTGGACACTTCCAGGGATGGAGAAATGAAGATATGAAAAACGTGAAAATAGTACAAATGACTGAAAGATTGACTAGGCAGAAATACTTCAATGACTATGTATTTCAGATGAAGGAAAAGAGAGAGAGGAAAGCTTGATAAAACTTGTTTATGGAGGAGACAAGCCGAAGCTTGTCATATAAACTCCATGCAGACAAAGCAGCATAGCTTGCCTGTGTTAGCTGAAAGGCAGCATAAGAAAGCTATTGTGGACTTGTTGCAGCATGCAAGGACTGCGCGGAATTACAATTGGCTGTAATTGGATTTGCCAGGGGGACTGCAAGAATAGGCGTAAACCTGGTAGCTGTGGACATGAAGGAAAATATCTGGCTACAGCATCGGTCATTTACTAAATTTCTTCTGTTGTCCAATCATAATTAGTAGATACAGGGGTCGAGACCTGGATGATTCACTTCAGTTTTGTGAAGAATTGCTGAAATTTAAAAAATTACCTGTCTCTAATCTCCACTACATGCAGATGACCTCTCCATCTACTGATGCATAGATGGTCTACTGCTGTATTGTAGTTTCTGAAGCTCATAACTAATTCTTGGAAGCTTGTAACAGAGAAGGGACCAGAGGCAAGACTTACGTCATCTCTCTGTCATTTACGTAATATGAAAAGAATCCGAATTAACAAATTAGTGTATTTAAAACTTTATGAAAACACTTCTTCAGCTGGGAAAAAAAAAAAAAGAAAAAGAATTCTAATAAATTAATCCATTTCCTTCCAACAAATGAGGTTTGAAAGAAGTTTTACCATTGTTAAAGAAAATTTCTTTTGAAGACATCTGCAACTCATACTTTGCAGCCACTTCAAGTGTACATTTCTCATTCGCTACATGCAGCCATGTTTTATGTTAGGTACTATTTTTTTTATTTTTTTTTAGGAAGCATTTCTCTTAATTCGAAGAACATGTCCATTGCTTTGTTCTTAACCATGGAACATTTTTCAGACCGTTCCAGACTGCTTAATTTCCTGTCAAGTTTACCTGGCGGGTTTAATTTCTTGGAATATTTACTAGGTCTAAAGAACAGCATGGTTGGTTCTCAGCTACGCTAGTTGCCAAACTAGCTTGTGGAGCTGAGTGCTGTGTGCACCTTACCAGATGACTGGGAAAGTCTTTTGCCTTTAGGTCTGCTGAATTTAATTATCACTGGACTTTTTCCATAGGCAGATAATACAAAGCAGGAGGGATTTCGTACCCTCTCCAAGCCAGAAGACATTTTTCAGTGTCTGTTGATAGTAGCTGGTTGCATTACCTGCTTACCAATGATATTGAAGTTTGTTTAAGAATGAAGAGAATGTTTTCTCCCAGCCTTAATGTTTTTATTCTGTTTTGGAATGCTATACCAGCACCATCCTGTCTGAGAGCGTTCCTATCAACAGCCTTATTCCCAATAATATGCAGTATCATGTCACATATATTAATTTATGACTTGGTTTACTGCTTTGAAGACTCGGTGCATGATACCATCTGAAAAATTAATGTTGACTTTCAAACTTAGCTGTAGAATTCAGATATGGAAACTCATGTTGGGCAATCTCACTCCTCTCCCAGCATGAAGTTCTTCATTTTACTGTTTTTGTGGCTTTCCTCGCTCCCCAAAGTATAGATCTGTACTGACAGGGAGAAGAATCATAAGAAAAGTACTGCCTGGCTAGACTGCAGGAAAGTCTAATGTTCTCTTTAATGACAGAACAGCTCAATGGAACAGAAAGGCATTCAGCACTATTATTTGTCACCTTCCCTACATTTTCCTGTGGGCTCATGAGGTTTTGCACACCATCAGAGCTTCACACTGATCCTGCTAGTGAAGGATGCTTGTGGGAAGCACTAATTTGATGACTCTACCGAATAGGACTTGGGATCTGATGTTGCAAATAATGGAGTGCAGGCTGTGAACAACTTGAGTCATCAGCTGGATCCCAGAAAACTTTCTGCTACCCAGGACAGATTTGTAATGCGGGAATCCATGTATGACAGTTGGCCCTTCCTGTGTCTGAAGATGCTTGGGTTTCTTCTAAGCTCATGACTGTTCAGGAGCTTTGATTTCTTCCACTCCCTCTAGAGGCTATGCAAAATGTAGTCTGTAACACAGTTTTCAATGTGCCAGAAATGCATACTGGGATTAGTGACATCTCAGAAAGGTTCGTGGGTTCTTTGCATAGGAAATGCAATCAAGCTAAGTAAAAGCTCTGTTTACCTGGGCCAAGATATTCCTTTGACTGGACAAAGTAACCACGGAAGTTGATGGCATTTCTGTTTATATTGCAGGTGCAGGGGCTACCTCTGGCATTTCAGCCATCTTCCCGAGTACCTCTGGCACAAGCACCTTCTCACCTTACCAGCACGCTCACAAAGGTAAGAATGCACTCAGATTTAATTTAGTGGCTGTTTGTTTTGAAAATGGCATCAACAAAGTGCAAGCAAACTGGCAATATCTATTGTGAATTTCACTGCCACTATCTCCAGTTTTCTAAAACTTCTGCTAAAATAATTCAGAATGATTTTTTATTTCTTGGTTAATCAACACTGCACAAATATGGCCAGTCTGTTACTGAGCTAACCATAACAGTTCTAAAGCATGGGGTTGGAACTAGATGACCACAAGGTCCTTTCCAGCCCTAACTATTCTATGATTCTATGACTCTATGATTATTAGATTTTAAAAATATGTGAACCTGAGAAGCCACAACAGGAAAGATGCAGTTACTGAGGTACTGACAATGCTGCTGTTCCTGGTATTGTCTGGAAACATGACCATGAGAATCATGTTTTCAGAAAAATTAAAGTTTTCATGCATTTTAGCATATCTGTCATTTTCTGCATCCTTTTGTGGCTTTTCAATTCCAGTCTTTTGCATCCAAATTTTCCCTCTGAATACCTTTTCACATACCTTATTTTACCTTCTAGCCATGCTGCGTTTTAAGTCTTTTAAGTTGAAGTTAGAAAAACTTCAGCTCTTCTGCATGTGTTTCCTTTTTACTGCAAACCTTCTGAGGCAGCCATAGTCACCAACAGTCGTTTTAGGTCTCATCCCGTTTGTTTATGTACTTTCTATTTTTAGATTCCAATGCTCTTTCCCAGCATACAGTGTAGGAAAGCTGCTACTCTTGTTTACGTATAGCTTCCTATATTACTAGCAGACAATATAATTTCCTATACCTTTCTATCTGACAGATCTTGCCATCAGTTTTTTTTTTGATGAATACTGTTAACTGGTCAGTGCAGCATAAATGTTTTCAATTCTGAAAACCTCTTTGCCTTTCCAATGCAACGCCAAGTTCTTCAATGCTTAACAAGTAAAACGTAAGTGTAGACCAGACCACAAACCGTTAACTGTTCTCTGATCCTAACAGTTGCTTCTTTATGAAAATATTTATTTCAGGAGATCTTTCAGGACAAGGACATCTGGCTACAGCTCTTATAATTGCAATGTCTACCATCTTCATAATGGCTATTGCCATTGTCCTCATCATCATGTTTTATATTGTGAAAACAAAACCTTCTGCTCAAGGTAATTGGTCAACACATGAAATTTTAGCTGCAAATGCTATTTTTAGATGGCTTCTGAGAATAATTAGTGTTATATTTTTATATTCTAGCCTGTTGCAAGAGCCATTCAGTAAAAAATGTCGAAGCTCAGGCTAACACACAAGAAGAGAAGAAAGAAGTGCAAGGTACAAGTTACTTTAGTTTTGCTTTTTCTGTTCAAGGGAACATTTGGCTTAAATACCCTTACTGCATTTGTCTGAATTACAATTTCCCTTTAAATTGTGTAAAATTCATGAGTTTGCTAAAGAATTATGTATGATAGTTTTTGTACTTCCAGCATGTCACTTAATCCTCTGATAGCAATTAAAAACATGTCAGAGAGATTCATGTTTTCAGTAAGGTTACCAGCAGAACTCATCTGGTTACCAGCTGAGACAAAGCACTGGTTTGGAAACTCATTGCCAATTTAAATTTCTCTAATTTTTGATCTATAGATAATGTTGTGATATTCTCTGAGAAAGAAGAGTTTGAGAAACTTACAGCAACTCCAGCTAAGGCTGTTAAAAGGTGGGTAATATAAATGTACTTCCAGTTTAACTGAAGTGGGTGAGGGACATAGTCACCATTCATCCTGGTACAGAGGAATACATGAAGAACAAAGTAGATGGGTATGCTGGTAGCTTGCTGCAGCAGGGAAGAGACTAGACACCTTAGTAGATTTTTCCTTCTCTGGTTTCTAGGACAGGACTGCAGTTGTTACCAAAGAGAAACCTGTGTCCTCCCCACTTCCTCTGTGACCAGTACATCAGCTCTTGGGCCTCCATCTCCTATTTGGAGAGGTGTCTTTGGGACCCAAGTGCTGCTGTCACATACATGCCCTTAGTAAGGTCCCCCTTCACTTTTAGGCAAGAAGAGTAAAAATAACTGCTCCAGGCCTTTAGGAAGCTCCTTGGCGTGGTGTGATAATTTTCCTCTAGTGTCTGCCTGGCATCCAGCCCTGGCCAGATAACACGATTAAGGTGGGCTAAACATGTCCTTAGTTGGAAAATCCCTCTATAAAAGGATTCCTGCAAGCTGCATATGATTTGATGGGCATTGTACATATACTCAGGGCAGGTGAATGCAGTTACATTCACAGGACAGGAGGAAAGGTGTTTTAAAAAATGGAAGCCACTTTTATCCCATTACTTTATATCCCATTACAAAAAGGAGATTATTTTAGTATAACCTATGAAAGGTTTCACTGATATAACTATAACCTTCATTTTACAGTGAAAATGATGCATCTTCTGAGAATGAACGCCTTTTAAGCCGTAGTATGGATAGTGATGAAGAAGCTGCAGTTGACAAGCAAGGGACTCCAGAGAGATGCTTGTTATCTTTAGTGCATTTGGCCAGAGATAAGTCTTCTACAAGCAATAAGTCAACTGGGGTAAGTCTGCTTTTGAGAATTAAATTTGAGAGAACTTCTCTGTCTTATTTTGGGGCCTTTTTAAGAAAACAATATGCAAAATATCACCCCCAAAATGTATGATCCTGCAGACCAGGCTAATTCCGAAAGCTTCTCCAGAAAAATTTACCATAGAATCTCATTTATTTAGTGACATATATGTACATATATAATGCTCAGGGTTGAAAAAAAAAAAAATTTCTTACAAAAGTACTAAATGTTTTTTTTAGTATTATATTTTATAGTCTAAAGGAAGAAAAAACAGTTAACAGCAACCGCTCCTGATATGGCTAATGCTAATATAACTAACCCCGATGCTATATTTATCACAGAAAATCCAAGACAGAAAAATAGTGTAGCAGCATGGATGGATGCATACAACAGGGTAACATCTGAGTGCCTTAACCCAGAAGCATTGGTATTTTCAAGGCATAAACTTTTCAGTCAGTGTTGTGCTTAGTTTTTGCATATTATTTTGAAGAAAACACGTGTTTTGAAGGTCATGCCTGTGCTCTGAAGGACACTATAAAGCTGCTGTTTATTTTGCTGTGGAAGGCCTTCACTTCTTCCTGATGTGTGTGTACTTCTTAGAGCAGTTTATCTCACTTGGAGTATTTCGAGGCAAAGTTAAGGCTACACTTCACACACACAACTTTTTAGTTTATATTAAAATGAAGCTATCCTTAAAAAGAAGCTGTCTGCTTAGATAATTTTTGTGGCTTTAGTACTTCAAAAATAATTTGTAAATGGTGATAGCTAGGACAAAATCACATCATTAATATCAATCATTAGATATCCTTTAAGAATAAAAATGTTTGAAAGTGCATATTTTCATGTTTACATCTTTCAAACTGTTGGGTTGGTTCAGCTCAAACTTTCAAAAATAGCTCATTTTTCAGCTAAGACCTGACACAGGAAGTCTCAACAAAAGAGAAATGGTTCTATAGTTCTAGACACTTACGACTATCTGAAAATAACTTACTACTCCAATGCTCACCTTTTAAAGTTCAGCTTTATGATATATTTCTAAATGTCCAACTTCAACGTACTTCTGTATACACTGGCTTGAAACTGGGTAATATGAATTGTGTAGGCATGAAATCAGAACATTTAATATAAGTGACTTACCTTCTAAAGACCATATATAATAGATATGTTCTCCAGAGTGATTTGGATAGACAGCTTGAAAGACACCTGAAACATGAATTATTTTTTCCAGGCCTTCTGTTCTAACATAATTCTCATGGAGTGAAGCCTCCTGACAAGGCTGAAGAAAACCATTCAATGAAAGTGCACATTGCGCCAAGATCCTCTGCCCCATACCTAAGATTTCCTTATCAAGCCAGTTGCCAGAAGTTAGAAAAGCAGTAATTTGCTTCAGGCTGGAGATTAAGTAACATTTCTAGTACAGGAAAGAGTATTAAGTAGCTATTGCATAAGGGCAAAGAAAGTTAAGAGGCTTGCTCTTAACCAAGTCTGCTTCCTCCTAGTTAAAACAAAAACCATTACAGAGTGAGCTACCACAGGGAAGAACATCAGGCTGTTTGCTTTCAGCATAACCTTCTCAAATCCCCCATCTTCTGGTGCTGGTGAAAAAAGCATCCTGAATAATTCTCCATGGGCATAGAATCATTTAGCCTCCCTCATTGCCCTAAAAACGAGAGGAAAATGAAAATAACAGTGCTTAGGAGGAGTTTTAATAAATCCCATTAAAAGAAAATTTCCTGTTTACAAGGTTCTAAAACAGCAAATCCAAGCCTACAATAGCAGGACAACTGATTAAACACATGTAAATTGTGCCAAGAATATGTGAACAACAGTCATTGTCTGCACTGCATTGCCCTGCAATACAACACACTTGCACAGCATCTGCTCCAGCGAGACAGGCTTTGGGTGGAGCAGCCACTTTGCGGTCTTCGGCTGCCAAGTCTATTAAACCAAGTCATTGATGTGCCTTTAGATCCCAAATAAAATGAGGAAAAAATTTCCACAAAACAAAATACTGAAAGCAGAGCTTTTTTCTTCTAACCTGGTGAAAAGTGTCAAATCTGTGGAGATAATGCTAAGGTGCTATCAGAAAGACAGCTTTTCAGAAAGCTCAGTCCTAATGAGAGCTGGCAGAGGGATGACAATTCCAGTCCCTGAGAAATCATGACATTTTGACGTTTGTTTTCACTCCACATGGAATCCAAAGCCAAACCTTCATATTTTTGCTAAATGAAACTGTATCAAAATGTCTGTTTTCAGCTTGGAAAATGTCAGGTTTTCAGTCTCAGTGTCTTTCATGTCAAAAATGACTGAAGCTCCCTGGACCTCAGATTCTCCCTGTCCAAAGCTTCACTGGTTTATTTATTTATTTATTTTTTTTCCCTAACTGTAAAATGTTTCAGATTTCACTGGGCAATATATCATGGAAGAAAAAAACTGTCGATTAGTAATGTACTAAGCGGTTCTACATCAAATGACAGGAAGGAAGATCCCCTGCTCTACAGTCCTTTTAGATTACTGGAAGAAGGCAATTTTAATCTGAATTTAAATCCTTGTGGGCAGTCCTATCCTGGTTTACCTGGAGAGCCCTACAGTAATTATCTGTATGTGTGGTACTGGTTTTGTCCGCGTTGTCAGGAGTTTGCTGCAGTCTGAAAGAGAAGAAATACACAGATACTTGGAGCAGAAAAGTAATTGCTCTAAAAAGGGGCTAGAAGATGGAAAGAAAGATCTCTAGCAGTGGAAATGGAAATCAGAACAAGGTTTATGCTTCACGGAATAATTGTTGTGCTCTCTTCGAGTCTTCAAAAAGCACCCTTGAGAACGTTGTGTGATAGCCCCTAGCGCCCTGAAATGAAGAATTTCCATGGCTTTTTCACTGTTGTCTGCTAATTGCTTACCCCCATGACTGAAAAATTAATGAAATAAATCTCTTCTTATTTAGATTCAAAGTCGAAGGAAAAAGATACTTGACGTGTACGCTAATGTATGCGACGTTGCAGAAGGTGAGTGGACAAAACTTGCACCTCTACTAACAGCACACAGTTAGATTAAAAGTGTTTGCTACAAAATAAGAAAGGCTTCTGCCTTCCTATGGAAAGCAGAAAGTCCCAATCCAGAGAAGACACTCTGTAGGCAGATTTGTAGTCCCTTGCCAGGAAGCCCCATGGTGCCCTGATCCCAGAGCTATCCAGGCTGGGCTTAGGCTGAAGTACACCACGGCTTCTTTCCAGGTGTGTGCATGAAATTCCTTCCTATGGAGAGCAGGAAGGGTAGTGTTGGGTCATGTCAGGACATGCACACACAGACCAAGTAGTGCAATAGCACTCTTGCATTCCCCACCCAGAGGAAACCTGTTTGATAACAGATAGAAACTAGCTCCAAATGCAAAACTGTAATTTGGGGAGGGTCAGGACTGAGGGTAAGACACAAGTCTCATCCTACTCCTCTAAATGCTGTCTCACCTTTCACAACAAAAAGTGCAGTTTCCAAGTTTTAAGTGGTTTAACCCTCTTTTACCACTGGACTACCTCAACTCTCCTATTCCAGCAGAATAGGAGAAATTACTGCATTTACTTCACACACACACTTTGTGTGCACATGTGCATCTGAGTTTTTTGTTGTTCAGGGAGCCATATCTCCCACCAAATTACTGCTGTTGAGTATGAAGCAGGAAACTACAGAAGCAAAAGACTGGGTTTGAAAAAATGCTGTAGCTGATTCTCTCCTCTATTCTGTGATCATGAATACACAGAAAACATGTCCAGGTAAAGAATAGCTTTTTCCCCACAGGATGAATGCTAAATCGTCTCTAGAGATTCAGTGATAGTAAAGACAATCAAGCACTAGCAGGGGCTTTTATGCTTGCAAGCATCTGGCACCATTGCTTCACCTCACTCCTCACACTCCTACAAGGGCAGCTTTCAATTACAGAGATGTTACAGCAGCTGCTGGTGACAGTCTCAGGGAAGGATTGCAGATGTCTCTTGAGCTCAAACACTGTGCCTGATGTGCAGAGGTGTATTAATGGAGCTGCTCGCTAGGGATATGACTGCAATGTACTTAGTTCCTAACAGCTAGTAAATAGTTGAAGGAAGGGGAAGTGCTGTGAGAATTCATACAACCCATTGAATAATTCTTTCCCAGACAACTTTTTATTCTAATTATTGTACACTACTGTCCCTAGGAAGAATTAACTTGGTAATACACAGTAATAACTTTGAAGCTAGAGATACCTATCATGGACTTTCACTTCAAGATTTTAGCTGTATTTACAGCTAACAGTATGTACTGTAGTACCTTGTCTTGGATAGTCTAGACTTGAGCACAGAGCCATCTGACAATAAACACCTCCCACTGCAGGTCTGAGCCCAACAGAATTGCCATTTGATTGCCTGGAGAAGACCAGCCGAATGCTCAGCTCAACCTACAACACAGAAAAAGCCATAGTGAAAACATGGCGCCACCTTGCCGAGAGTTTTGGACTGAAAAGAGATGAGATCGGTGGTATGACAGACGGCATGCAGCTCTTTGATCGCATCAGCACAGCAGGTTACAGCATCCCAGAACTGCTAACCAAACTGGTGCAAATAGAGCGGTTGGATGCTGTTGAATCCTTGTGTGCAGATATTCTGGAGTGGGCACAAGCAATGCCTGCTCCTGAGCCAGCGGGGACGTCCTGACATGCCTTCCTGGGAGCAGCGCTTCCACATCACCCTCAAGAACCATGATTCCGCTGAGCACCGCATAAAAAACTTTGGACAAGAGACCATTGATGTTTATTCTACATAATCGTTCACGATAACCAGTGGGAAGTGTTTCTCTTTGGCTTCTAAAAGAAGTGAAGTTACACACCTACCAAAACAAAAGCAGAAATCTCCCAAGAAGCTTGGTATGAAACATGTCAATAAACAAAATGATCGTGTTAAACAGTTACTGATAAGCGGACACACAAACATCCATTTTGAAGTCTGTGTATAAGTGCAGATAACCCTGCCGATACCCTTCCTGCCTGGCCTTCAAGAGAGGCATTGGATTGCTCTCTGAACATATTCCAGTCTCTTAGGACTTTATTCAACAGTTTAATAGTTACAGTCAAAAGCAGTACCACAGCTAACGTAATTCATACACATAAGGCACGTACATTTCTATCGGCTCTAACACATTCAATACGTAACCGGTTTAGTTTTCTACACTTACTATGGGTTTGTTGAACCTAGAAGTATGTGCATAGGTGCATACACAGAGTCCTCAGATTAATTTGCTATATGAAAAAAGAGTCTGACATAATTTACAGATTGAAGTGCTTCAAAATGCTGTACATAATGCACATAAATGCATACTTGGTCCATACTGACATTTCAGGAACTGTAAATTCAATTTGCTGACTTGCTGAGGACAAGCTGGTTACTGAGCAGTAAAAGCTGGCAATCACTCCTTGTAAGCTGAGAGCAGCAAGCTCTCTTCTTCCTTGCCACGACAAAAACAGAAGCAACCAAACCAGCTTTCCACTACCATGAAAACTGTATTTTTCCAGTAAATTATATTTCAAGCAGAGGAATTCAGACAACAGTGATGCACGTTTGACACTAGGAACAAGAAGAGTAAACTTCTCTAGGGACACCTGAAATGCAGGTGCTATGCTCTTGTAAGCGTAGACCATGAGCGCAGAATCCACAGGTAAAAACCAACTCCTCGGGAAGGTAAAGCATTATTGTGAGTTTGTGTGCAGAAAAAGTTGACCTATTTTTTTCGTTTTAACTAATCTCTGATTTTCACCTTTGAAAGTTCTCTAAAACTTGTTCAGACCACAAATCAGTAGCTGTTACCAAACCTGTTTGCTTAATTTATAGCTAAAATGAGTGATGACGCATTTCAACAAGTACAACCACTAAATTAAATCATGTCAGTTACAGAGCAGTATTTTAAGATTCCAAGATTCATGACTGAATGAAATGCTATAAAAAATATTAACCATTACCCTGAAGTGAACAACCAGTATTCCATCAGTTAGCAACTAGATTTTGTCTATGATAGCATCATTATTTTGCAGAACATTTAGTATCACCCTTTAACATCTATATTTAATATCTTCTTAGCACTTGATTCATATAGCAGAGGAAGTACATACTGCAACATAAAACCTATCCCTCTCATTATTCCTCTTTCACCATTTCTTTTGTATCATAACGCACTCTTCATTAATTTGCATATGCCAGTTTTGATGAGAATTTTGACTTTTAATGAAGCAGCAAGATGCATTTATTGAAACATTTTACTAGCTATTTGGTGTTTAATTTATGGGTGAAATTCTTGAAGTCTTGAAATCAATGACAAATTCATATATAGATTTTGACAGGCTTCTGTGAGATTCCTAGATCAGCTGACAACTCGACAATCTGCAACAAGATTTTCAAGACCCTGAATTTGTAACGCAATACTATTGCTATTAGAAAAACAACAGGGAAACAAACACCACCACCCCCCAAATTACAAGAATTCTATTTTTCTTGTGCCAGCGTGTAACTACAGTGTTATTCAGTGGACTGCCTCCTCTATTTCTTATGTCATTTATTAATACACTTCATTTATTTGTTTAGAAGAAGCTACATGAATCCTCTTCTAAACGTTTATTAGGCCATGAAAAGTTAGGGTCTTGAAACCGATGGTGCCAATGTGAACACAGACTATTTAACATTATTTTATTCAGTATACAGTATTTTTATTGCTACACAAAAGATGTACAGGAATGAAAAAATTTCCTGTGGATCTTGCCAAAGATCACTTTCTAATAATTTTTTTTTAATGCTGTATATATAACTTATTATATTGTAAAGTATGAACATAAAATATGCGAATAAAAGAAAGAGGTCAAACATAGTCGCATTAGCCATTTCTTTGATTAAATCATATATTGCCTTATAACTCTGAAATTTAATGAGTTTTCCAAGGGCTAGTAGGCACATTCCTGTGGTATGGGAGTGCCTAGGTAACATACATGAAAGAATTTTTGCATTCCTGTAGGATACTGCTTCTCTGCATCACACTTCGGAATCTTTTGAAGCAGAGACAATTTTGCCAATGTAGTTTTGGTTAAAAATTTGACCTTGTAAGTATTATGAAAATGCCAAACTCCTTGCAACTCCGTGAAGAAACTGTAAGTTTTTATGTGTGTACTGAGAGCTGGTACAGACTGTGAGACTGGTGAGTAATCTCACAGTAGCAATACTCTCTCATAAATGAGTTTTTATTTTGCATTCCAAAATTAGCAGTACTACACCACATTATCAGAGATCATAACCGGAAGCTTTCACTGCATGACAGGATAATTATGTTCATCCAATCTCAGGCTGCACTGGCGAGACTGCCAGCAGAACCGCTAGCGTCTACAAAAAACAGAGTGCCAAGCTGCATTTCTCCCAGAGCCTTGTGACTAAGCTAAGACTTGCACAGTATTTCATAGAGATCAAACATTTCCTAAATGGACGAAACACTGTCCTACTTTAAAAACAGTTTGGGATTTTGTTTCAGCTTCATTTGTTGGTTTCAGCATGATGAATGCGTTCTTGTTCCATTAAGGGAACAAGAACGTTAACATTAAAGGAGATAAAGGCTCCAAAAACCACAACAAAAGCTTTGAGCTTCACAGGTGGTTGGGACGAATTGATGTTCTGAGTTTCACTTTACTGTCTTTTTACTTCTTGCACTGTGAGTGCAGAAGTTAACATAGCATGAGCACACTCCAGCAGACATTGCTGCATCTAAACACATCGTTGCCCAAAAGGCTTGAGCATTCTCTGCTTCAATGTGCTTATAGACAGCCACCCAAAGGAGAAACTTCAACTTCTTGGATTTAACTTGACAAAGCACAAACTCAGATCTGCATAAAATACCCATTACCTTCAACTGTGTAAAATAAAACCACAAAACACAGGAACATAAAAAACAAACCACCTGAGAGCTCCTGTGGGGATGTCATCCTTGTTTCAATTTTTGCTTCTTTTTGAGTTTATTATTTTTAAGTTTTTCATTTATGTTCAATGCTTCCAGCACACTGGGATGTACCTGCAGAGAGATTCATCTTGTGCTAAAGCAGACATCTAAAATACTCAAGGTGGGTTGCATCCTCAAACTACAGGCTATAGTGTCTCAAGACTATGCCTGGAGTGACAAGCTTTGATGTATACAGTTATTCTACAAATGTCAAATGTTGGATGAGTTTAGTCTTACCAAGTAACCAATCAATTTCAGGTGTGTGGCTGTATTTCAGCTCAGTAACATCTCTGAAACAGCTGCAGTAGGAAGCGCAGAATGAAGATGAACCTGAACCCATTACAAATCATATTAAGTGGTGTTCTGTTTTGAGGAATTATTGCATCAGATGAATGCTTATGGTGTCCTTAAGGTTAATGTCTCTGGAATTGTGTAATGTTCTTAGTATTTGCAGCAAATTTGGCTCGTATAAGGTTAAAGTTATGACTGACTGTTGTCCTAGACAGGGTAATTTGCAACAAGAAGTTAAACAGAACTTTCTGAGGCATTTCTGACAAATTTTCATGTAAGAACATTAAGGTTGTTAACTTCTCGCAGTGACCTGACCTCAATATAAGCACATTTTTTACCACACAATCTTAAAACAAACTCACTTCAACAACCCAAACCCTGAAGAAATCACAACCACCATTGTTTCAAAGTGGCTCTTTTCCTCTCCGTCATAGAATCATAGAATTGTTAGGGTTGGAAAGGACCTTAAGATCATCTAGTTCCAACCCCCCTGCTGTGGACAGGGACACCTTATGCTAAATCATATCACCCAAGGCCTCGTCCAACCTGGTCTTGAACGCTGTCAAGGATGGAGCATTCACAACCTCCCTGGACAACCCATTCCAGTGCCTCACCACCCTAACAGGAAAGAATTTCCTTCTTATATCCAATCTAAACTTCCCCTGTTTAAGTTTGAACCCATTACCCCTTGTCCTGTCACTACAGTCCCTAATGAAGTGTCCCTCTCCAGAATCCCTATAGGCCCCCTTCAGATACTGGAAGGCTGCTATGAGGTCTCCATGCAGCCTTCTCTTCTCCAGGCTGAACAGCCCCAACTTCCTCAGCCTGTCTTCATACGGGAGGTGCTCCAGTCCCCTGATCATCCTCGTGGCCCTTCTCTGGACTTGTTCCAACAGTTCCAAGTTCTTTTTATGTTGAGGACACCAGAACTGCACACAATACTCCAGGTGAGGTCTCACAAGAGCAGAGTAGAAGGGCAGGATCACCTCCTTCGACCTGCTGGTCACGCTCCTTTTGATGCAGCCCAGGATACGGTTGGCTTTCTGGGCTGCGAGCGCACACTGAAGCCGGCTCATGTTCATTTCCTCATCAACCAACACCCCCAAGTCCTTCTCCACAGGGCTGCTCTGAATCTCTTCTCTGCCCAACCTGTAGCTGTGCCAGGGGTTGCTCCGACCCAGGTGTAGGACCTTCCACTTGGCATGGTTAAACCTCATGAGGTTGGCATCAGCCCACCTCACAAGCGTGTCGAGGTCCCTCTGGATGGCATTCCTTCCCTCCAGCCTATCAACTGAACCACACAGCTTGGTGTCATCGGCAAACCTGCTGAGGGCGCGCTCGATCCCACTGTCCATGTCAGCGACAAAGATGTTGAACAAGACCAGTCCCAACACTGATCCCTGAGGGACACCACTCATTACTGGTCTCCAGCTGGACATTGAGCCATTGACCACAACTCTTTGTGTGCGGCCATGCAGCCAGTTCTTTATCCCCCGAGTGGTCCATCCATCAACCTGATGTCTCTCCAATTTAGAGACAAGGATGTCGTGTGGGACGGTGTCGAACGCTTTACACAAGTCCAGGTAGATGACATCAACTGCTCTACCCCTGTCCATCAGTTCTGCAGCCCCATCATAGAAGGCCACCAAATTGGTGAGGCAGGATTTCCCCTTAGTGAAGCCATGCTGGCTGTCACCAAGCACCTTGTTGATTTTCATGTGCCTTAGCATGCCTTCCAGGAGAAAATCTGCTCCAAGATTTTGCCAGGCACAGAGGTGAGACTGACTGGTCTGTAGTTGCCCAGGTCATCCATTTCCCCTTCTTGAAAATGGGGGTTATATTTCTCTTTTTCCAGTCATCGGGAACTTCACCTGACTGCCATGATTTCTCAAATATGATGGCCAGCGGCTTCGCAACTTCATTTGCCAGCTCCTTCAGGACCCATGGACTTGTGCACGTTCAGATTTTTAAGATGGTCTCGCACCAGTTCCTCTCCTACAGTGGGACAGTGGGATATTTTCTTTAGAGAAAATATCAACCCTGCCTTTGCTGTGGAGAAACCACTTTGTATTTTTGACTTTAGAGAAGATATTTTTCATCTCCTGGCAGCACTTCTTCAGAAAAGAATTGGGCACTATTTTGGTCTGAGCTTTTTAAGCTAACGCTGAAAGAAAAGACTCAACAGGGAAATAAATCACAGATTCATA